GCGTCATGATGCCTTTCTGCGGGTCACTGTACAACACCTCTGCCTTGGAGGAACATGGGGAATATTTAAAGTTGTACACAGCAGCCTTTTTGTTGTTTTATACAGCCTTTTTGTTGTTTTATACCTGCACATACACAGCATGTCGGCAGAATGTACTGCGCCGAAGCCCCCATTTTTCACGGTTTTTGTTGGATTTTGGGTCAGGATTTTGCCTTTTTCAGACGATATTTTTCATTTTCATTTCATTTCATTTCATTTATTGGTGATGCCAAACAACGCATTACAAGTGGGAGCCAGGCAGCCAAAGGCTGGTGGCGGCTGCCACTGGTACATACAACACAACACAGGACAAGTCAATACAATATACAGGACCTAACAAGTTACGAATATCAAAATAGCAAAACATAACAATGCATTATACAATATCAAAGACACAACATCATCAAATTAATAAAGTAATCATAATAATATCTATAATCAAAAGTGGAAAGGAAGGATGGAACGGTTGGAAAGTCAGAAAAGTTAAAAAGTTGTTTAAAAGTTAGTAATCAGATGAGAGGTGGTTCCTGCATTTGGCCTTGAAAATTCTAACTGTGGCGGAACATGTGTTTCCGACATAACATTTAGAAACTACAGACGGAGTGTTAACCTTATATACGCGAAAACGACCTTACATGAGACGTTATGCCGAGGTGCTATGCACATTACGGGTTTGGCACAGGTGCAGTACGTTCTGCCGACGTGCTTACAAACACTGTATTACTTGATGTTACCGTACTTTGTCCATATTGCCTTCGTACAATTCGTCCAGAGGAATCCGCCACAAGGATCCAGCATGTGTCTCCCCTCCGGTTCCAAACAGCACGCTGAGGCGGCCATCTTGGCGGGGGTACACCTGCAGATAGAGAACAACATCAGAACTATAGGCAGGTTTGACTGTATATATATTTTCAACAACGTGTTTTGGTTCGTTGCTGTCGCCTCGTACATGTACATAGTGCTAATCCAAGCATTTCAAGAAGAGTACAAGGAACCACCATGCTCCGATGGCCTCTCAACGCATGCAGTTTCAAGTATCTACACCATATGTCCCATTTAGAACAGCTGATTTTGGATGAAAACAAGTCACCTGTGGTGAATAGTAGGTTTCCCTCCGGTCCGGTACTTCTGCCCAGCGCAACACCCTGCCGTCCTTCCCGCTAAGAATTAACAGCCGGCCCGACAACCGGTACAGGCTGCCTGGGGAGAGGAACAAGGAAGATAACGAACTTGTACAGGACCCAACACCGTATGTATGAGGTACAGTCTGTGTTCGCCCACCAAGATGGCGGACACTGGATTACGTCATAGTCACGTGGGTGCAAAGTTTACTCACCAGGTTCTCGGAGCGGGTCCCCGCCGTGAGCGGCCAACACATCTGGGACACCGTCCCCATCCATATCGGGCAGGAACTGCGCCGTGTACAGGTTCATCATCTCCACTTTAGCCTCCTGAGGACCGAACTTCCACAGTACCCGCCCGTCTCTGCCGCTCACCGCCTGAAAGGCCTACACAAAAGACCAAAATTCATAGATGCATCCACATATTTACTAGATGGCACATGTACCGGCAACCTTTGTTGCCGTATATAATCACTTTGTGCATGACTAGATTTACTCAAAATCATCATCAGGTCGGGGTTTTCTGGTCCTAGACCCTTTCCCTCCAATCCACTTTAAATTTATTCAACGGTGTTTTGATCAATGGATTAGCAATCAATGTGAGGTGTATGTTGACATTACCCCTGAGCGCCCTCCAGCGAGACAGTCGTTCACTCCATCTCCACTAATGTCTTCGTTGCAGTTGACTCCAAAGATCTCGTGGTCTGCAATTCAAGTATAGTAGATGCGCACATTAAATGAGGAAGGGCATAAGCACTCCAAGAAGCTTGAGGGAGCGATATGATTGATAAAGACACAAAATGGTCAGGATATAGCTTCAAGAATTGGTCAAATAGATGATGTAATGTTGACAGTTCTTGAACCTGCAAAGCTGCGCCACAGCTCATGACCGGTCGCCCCATCCAATGCTAGCAGCCCGCCAAAACACGGGAACGAGCCGTTGAAGTACAGGTCACATACAACAGACGGGATGTGGTATCCGTCAGCACCTGTCATGGCAACGAGACGTTTACGTACAGGTCGCAAACTGCCAACTCTCTGTTAAAAGCCACATAATAGCCTTTGTTAGTCACAATGATAACTTGACTTACAAAGGCTATATTATATGGTTAGTTCATATAACATGGAAAGGAGTTTGATCTTTTGGCGACGCCTCGGGGGCGGAGCAGATACACTAGTAATGATACCAGGTTTGATATGAAAGTATTATGTAATGTATGGAAATACATTGATCCCTAAACAATGCATTTGGGGCTGCATCTCAGTGGTAATGTCGTTCGAAAAATGTCGACACGCTTGTAAGCCGCCGTTGTTTTTTGTGTTTCTAGTCTTCACCTGTCCCGAAACCTGTGACCACGTCGAGAATGCCGTCTCCATTCACGTCCATCAGTCTCATGGCGGACTCCGTTAGCAGTTTGGGGAAGGTGGCGGTCCAGACGTCCTGCACAGACAGCTTGGAACAACCCACTGGGGAGGCCTGCTGGGGGTGACAGGTAGGGAACGACAGGTAGGGAACAACAATCTGTAAGCTTCCTGTGCAATGGAGTTTTAATGGCTTAACTGTACATTTTATATTTTCGAACGTACTCATATGCATATGAACGGAGCTATAAATCCTTCTTTTTATTGCTAGTCTATTTTATGAGCGAACAATAAAAAACAATGCCACAACATACCTCCCAAGCCGCTGCGTTCGCACCTGTTGCTACGTCATCGCACGCGTCATTTTCTTTCTTCAGTCGGACTATCGCGATCACCATGGTAACCAACGCCAGCAGCAGGAAGACAAGTATCACCACTAACAGGCACATGTGGCGTCTTTTATCGTTCTGGCGACTTAACCATGGATGGTGGTTTCTGCCTCTCTGGCCCCTGTATAATGTGGTAAATGTATGATTGAGGTAATATTTCAGATACGTGGAAGTTTATAGAAACACATATCCAAACACACATGCACAGGCGCCGGCAAACAAATACGAATATAGCACAGAGAGATACGTGGTGAGAGGGTAACATTTTAGATAGGGACGTATTTGTGTCTCTATTGTACAGCCAGTATAACCACCTATTGCCTAAGCTTTTGCACACCAGCTTCCCAGGCACTCGGCGTTTTGTTACTCAAACCACCTGTTATACCTGACCTTTTCTAACTTCATCCATCCAGCCAGCTAGCCAGCCAGCCAGCCAGCCAGCCAGCCATTCATTAAACTTCATGCATTGTTGAAAGTCGTTTAGTATACATATTGGCTACTGTATCTCACCTGCCATGCTGAATCAGCGGTATCCATGTATCTGTCCCCTTCCCGTCCACTGTCTCCATCTCATCATCTTCCTCAGAACAGTCATTTTCCGGCCGCCACATTTCATCCTCCATGACAGCACAGCTTTTCTTTTCACTGAGAGCTCTCGCGGGCGCGTTAAAAGGAAACGAAGGTCTGGCGCTGAAGTAAATGCAAAAAGGACCGCCTGCGCAATTTCAGGTGCTCAAATGATCACTGGCTTAGGCACACTCCCTTTTGTCTCGGAGACTAGACTATTGAAAAACGACATCGACGCACAAATGGACTATTTCAAGGCAGTGCGTTGTTTGTCGTCTTTACAGACAGGGACAGGTTGTTTTTCCTTTTGGTTCAGTGAGACACATATTAAACTAAATATACAATACGTTGTTTTTCTTTGACATAAACCAATAGTGAAATAAATGCGACAAAAGATACCGCGTCACAAGGCTGTACGGATGCTAAAGTCGAATAGAAGGTGTGCAACTAGACCGACTGATCACAGCTTTATTTTCACGTCTGCCCATCTGACATGAAATTACTTTTTTGCCTGAATCAATTCATTAAAAAGCCATCATCGTCTAAAATGACTTTATGACCTTTTGCACATTGACGCCTTTCCAATCGCGGCTATGTTGACACGACCCCTGACAATACCGACACAACTGTTACCTTCCCACCACTGGGCGGTGTTATGTTTATATAACGGGTCCACACGTTCGCTGTACAAGCACTAATAACTGGACCCCCCCCCATTTCTGAATTGTGTCTAAATCTACAATCGGAGAGAAAGATTTGTTGTTTCCAACAGCCCTTATAATGATAATATGGCAACCTTGGGAACTATGACAACTTTGCAATGCCAGTCACGAGCGGGTAGTTATTTTGTGTCGTCATCTCTGTTCGCGTTCCAAAGGGCGTTACCAAGTTACGTAGAAGTCGGTATACCTAAAGCCATTCGGAAGTTCTACACTAGATCTATGGCTAGATCATCACGTCTCCTAAATAAGTTACACCATTAACAACTACAGTATCATCGGATGACGCTAACTACAGATTTGGACCAATAAACTGTGTAAACGCCAATCCTATCCGTTGACCGATCGATTTAATTTTAGTCGTTCGAAAATTGACTATAGCTAGTGACTAAAGTCTATGTAAGCAATGTCTCTGTGTCACTATTGGCTGCTAGTAATACTCCTTTAGCAGTGTCGCACTTGTGGTTAATAATCATTTGTTGCCATGGTGCTGTCTATATTTATAACCGCTCTATATCCATAAAAGTATTCACTGCCAACTGTATTCAGTTACCAACATAGTTACATTGTATCGTAAGACAATCACAAGGTGTAATCAAGTTTCACAATTGCTGAACATAACCGGGCGTAATGTAACTCAGCAGACAAGAGGCTCTGTAGCAACGCCTTGAATTTATTAGTAAGCTCGCACAGCCATTTTTTGCCACCCCAAATTACGAGCTCATGACTTGTGACCTATAGGGTAAATGTTTAACATACAAGTTAGCAAATATTGTACGCAGTTGGCGAAGAACCGGAACAACATGGCGTGTTTTACACGGTACTTCCTTGTCGGACTTCTGGTTATCACCCCTGCCTTATACTCAGGTGAGAGTTTACAGCATCTCATGGCCTCTACCAAGCTTCGGAAGCGGCTGGAGAGGATACAAATTGACAAAATAGATAACATGCCAGGGAGTTGCTCCTCTAATTAGTAAATGTACTTCTTAGCCGACCAAAAAATGTACTCCTTAGCTTACCAACTTCCCTGGCATGTTACCTGTCTTCATATGTTTGGCCAATTTATACTCTTCCCAGCCGCTTCCAAAGCCTGATAGATAATACATAAAACCAAAATAGGTGTGCAAACTTAGAATCAACTGATCGCCATCTTGTATGGAATGATGTACAAACAATGGTGTACACATAACTCCCACCGTTGGTATTGAACCAGAAAAAAAATGGGGAAAACGTCTCCCTAATTATAACTCGCGCGGGTTAAAATGTTTCACGCATATCTGACGCATACAAGAAATACATCCGTAATGTTTATTGTTATCACTTTGATGTGAATCTTTGAAGCAGGTATGAGTTCATTGTCATTGTCAGTAAAAGAATCATCGTAAGTAAGGGTTTTTCTTAATTTGTTTTAATGGCCGTGTAATAATTTTCACATGAAAGTATAGCTCAACAGAACAAAAGTGTTCCCAGTCACACAAAAATGATTAAGTTCCTTCTGTAATATTTCATATGAAGCATTAAATTCCCCAGCTTAAGTGCAATGTTGCTGGCCTCACTGTAATGTAATTTCAGGTGGAGTCGATGTGGCCATCCTGAACCAGTATCCGCTTGTCCCTCACCTGCGTGTAGAATCTGGAAGTAATGTCGCAGATGACAGATCCAGTGTGCTGACCTGTATCACAGACGGGACGGTACAGGGTTCTACTTCGGATTCAGACTTCTATATCAAGGTAGAATACTCACCAGGAGGAAACACTTTCACAGCGAGAAGGTCAACAGTAACAATCCCATCGTCTTTGGCACCAACAAAGGTGCAGGCGACAATAAATCCCGCCAATAACGATAACGAAAGAAAAGAAGCCATCGGGGTTTTCTCCTGCAGTGGAACTAAAGACGGGGTGACCAGGGAGGTGTCTACTGTCAAAATTCTTAATACAGGTAAGAAAATGTCAGAAGTGACGTACTTGTATTACAACCTTTCTGTATATAACAACTACTATCAATGGAAGTGCTTGTACGGCTAACTGATTTGACAATCAATCATGGATGGGAGCCCGATATAAATATACTTAGGCGGACACCTTTTGAATCTTTTAGCTGTCACTTATTGTACCACAAAGGTACATGTAGCCATCAATTCGCGAGAACTGTATATATGTCAAATATATCATGGCTAATGATGAGTCCATGTCTAACTAAAACAGTCGGTACTGTTAGTATACATATGTAACGTTATATTGTTCAGTCTTATTGACGATGGTCTACGTTTTCACTTAGTAAAACTCTTTTTTTGTGTAAACAGCCTGCCTGAAGCCCCTCGCCTACACCTATCGTGCAACAGTAGGTGATGAGGTCAGGATAAAGGTCACAACGACGTCATGGTGTTACCCAAACTCGATAGGTAGGACCAGTATCGTGCTTAGGAGAACAGACGGGACAGCAGCCGCGTCAACTCCACATGGATATCAACCCGGGGAGCACGAGTTAGTTCTCAACAGTGTGACCGCAGCGGACGACGGGACCTACGTCGTCAAGTACAATGATATGTCAGACACAGATAAACTAGCGAGCTACATCAGACTAACAGTTTCAGGTATCTTTATTAAGATTAATTCGTTTCATTTGATGGAAGCGTACAATGGGCCAGGTGATTTAACTAATTTGTACAGCATGTACTTATACTACTCTATGAAGAAGTGTTATGAATACATTCAAATGTGATTCTGTATACGCCTTTTAGCCCTATTGATCATGATTTGCTTTGTTTGCTTTGCAACGTTTGTCTAGCCTGCTCCCCAGACCGCTCGGGCCCTGACTGCTCCCTCCCCTGCCTGTGTTATCACGGAGGTCGGTGTGACCAGGACGGTTCCTGTATATGTCCACCGGGGTTCTATGGAGACAACTGTGAACTAGGTAATTGAACAAACTACGCTCATCATCGGTTGTCGGTATCCGATACCGTTACTGTTATTTTGCACTGTCATGTTCTTATTCTTTGAGACGTTGTCAAGAGTGGAGTAAAGAGAAATGATTATCCTGCAAGAGAAACAGATTCAGTAAACGAATAACATTATTGACGTTCAATATAGAGTAAAGATGATGTGTAAACCCAATCTCCTCTCTTCCAGCCTGTCCGCAGTCCTCCCAGTACGGCCAGTCGTGCCAGTGGTCCTGTGAGGTTAATGCCGATAGGACCTGCCAGAAGTCCCTCATCTGTCTGCCGGATCCTTACGGCTGTGAGTGCGCCAACGGGTACAAGGGGTTCGACTGTGATACAAGTAAGAGAGGCAGTTATTTTTGTTCTGACCGAGAGCTCTAGATTTAGACTGAACTGGCGTTCTGAAATATGTTTGACTACGTATTAGGTGTATAGCAGTAATGTAGAAAAACATATTTTATCCATGTGTTTATCAGTATTGGTCATTCTTTGCACTTGTGACTACGTTTTCTGCAGCATGTGGTAGGAATGAGTACGGTCCAGGCTGTACACAGACGTGTGTCTGCAATAACGGAGGGATATGTGACGTCAATAAAGGCTGTCTGTGTACAGGAGATTGGAGAGGTCCAAGTTGTGAAGAAAAGAGTACGTTGCTTGATATTGATATGTTGCTTGGAGCAAAAAATATCTGCTGAACCATCCGAATAAACATTTATTTTCTGTTTGTAGATTAATTCTGTTAAATTTTTAAATTGAAGAATTTGGAACTCTCACAAATAAGATGTAAAATGTAGGTCATATACCACATCACGCATGTTCCAACCGCACAGTTAAAGTGCACAAAATGCATTTCATACTGCTGATGTACCATCTAACGCCACGAGATGTGACAGTACTCCCAAGAACATTTTCTTGGATATAAACAGCCGTATGCCGTATCCTATTACCTGCATGAAAATCTATACTGTCCGTAGAAACTCACTATAAGAAAAAAATGGCAACATTTTATAATGAGGGCTAGTGCTTCCTTCTGCACAGAATTCCGTATCTCATTGCTGCCCATGACGGTTCACATCATAAATGCTGCGTCCACCTCCGCTAACGTCACCTGCAGTTGTCACCCCTGGACTACTGATGACTGTCCTGACATGAGGTTAGAGTATAATGTGACTCAGGTCACTCCTACAGCTGAGACCTCGGAGTCAGCCCGTCAGAAAACTTGGAGCTTCACTCCACCGACAGTGCTGGGAGATGTGGAACTTAACTGTGCTGTTGACTACAACGGGGTGAGGTATTCTTACAGGAGCATGATAACAGTGACAGGTAATTAATTCCCTTTGTATGTATTCCACCTTAACAAATGGTAGAAGTATTTTGCAATTACAAAGAATAATTTGACATGTCACATACCTTCGCATATCTTCGCCCTACAGGCCGTGCCCCGTCCATTACAGAAGACCCCGCGAACAACATCGAGGTAAACACCGGGCAGGACGTGACCATAACGTGCGCTGCGGACGGTGACCCTGCTCCAACCCGGGACAACTTTCTCCTGAGAAACCTGAGAACTGGAAGAGATCTTCAACCGTCGAGTGCGGCATCGTCTGGGGACGAATTGAGGGCAACGTTCGACATTACCGGCGTGACAGCCTCAGAGGAAGGACACTACGACTGTAGAGTACAAACCATAGCAGGGTCGAGCATTTCTCATCGTGCCTACATAGACGTGAAAGGTAGGGACTTAATACAAGCACGTGGATCTATTTACATGCGTAGTTTGACACCAAAGCTTAGTATGACTATCTTCAGATGAATTAGCTTACATGTCGCCCTTTATTTCAGTCCAGCCAGTTCCAAAAGAGCCACCGACAGCGACAGAGACCGGGTTTTTGTATGTCATCGTCGGCTTGAACATTGCGACCTTTGACGGAGATGGGCCGATAGTCGACACGTTATTGCTGCACAGAAAGCTTCCATCAGGCAGCTGGACAGAAACTCCTGTGTCCAACCGCTCAATCCCATATCGGTTGGACGGCTTGACACGTGAAACTGAGTACGAGTTAGCCGTGGTTCTGACGAGGCCCGGCGTTGGAGGCCGGGGTGCGATGGGACCGTCCGTCTCAATTACAACACATCCTCCAGGTACATTTACATTTGGATTATTTTGTTTCTTTTAAGTTGTTTCTCTTCTGACCGTCACTGTTATAATGAGCAAATTGTGCAGTGCACTTGATATACGTACAAACTCGATTTCACTGTTAATTGTGTAGCCTTATCTCTTGATGAACATCTTTATATTGATTTCAGTTGATGGAGGCTGGTCACCGTGGACCGACTGGCCCCCTTGTAGTGTAACCTGTGGTAACGGCACCAGGACCAGAACCCGGACATGTGACAACCCCATTCCTGCATACAGCGGACGGGACTGTGAGGGAGCAGCGAGTGAGACACAGACATGTCAGGATCAACCTGCTTGTCCAACAGGTAAGGACATGAATGATATATATATACATGTATGAGTTTATACACATAATATATACATGTATCAGTATGGTGCGTACCAAACTATGAGGCTGGTTTGCAACCCCTAAATTAACAAAAACAAATCACAGCCAGGCAAATGAGGGCAAAGAATAAGATAAAGTTAAAGTCTGGGCTGCAACATTTAACAGGTTCTTGACTTCCCGAAATTGATGACTAGAATATTAGAACGATGAGAAATGAAAACAAAGTTCATCAATTATTTCGTTCTAGGTCCATCTATAGGTCTAATTGCCGGTGCAGCAGGAGGAAGTGTTGCTGTTATTCTTGTGTTGGTAGCAGTCGTTATCTTTATCCTCTGGCGCAGGTATGTATCATACTATCTGACAGGTTACCGCTGTACATATTCTAAACGTAGTGTTGCTTACCGGTTATTGTGACATTCATTTTTTAGACTTCACAAATTATACTCGATATTGCTTGGAATTCATCACCAGTTACGACATCAGAAATCCTAATGCTTTGCTGTTGACATTTACAGGCGACGAAAGCAACGACCTCCCCTCCCTGTCCGTAAGAATATGTCTGAAGCGGAAGGGTTTTCTAATACATCGTTCGTTTCAGGTAAGAAATTCCATATTCTTGATATCCCTCTGATATCCCTAGCACAAAATATCGCCATCACTCAATTACAAAGCATGACAAATTAAATGGAGCTGTTTACCCATTTTAGACCAAACCGGCATGAGATTGCAAGAAGCCACAACAGCAGCTGCTGATGGGGGCCCAACTGCAGCTAGGCACCATGAACAACATGCCTCCAAACCGATTGCCATGGAGAACTATAGGGTAAGGGTTATGCTCCTCGATTCTTGAACCATTTTCCATACATACTCTATCACAATCATTATGATAATCAGATCTTAACCTCCAAGCAATGTACTCTTTTCTGTTAACCATTTTCCTAACTTACTTCGACATTGCAATGGTTGTTCATAATATAAAATAAGATGTCAAAGTGTTTGTGTCCTTTGCCTTCTTTCACGACAGCCCATTCCACTGAAGATAATGGCAATCAGCGACCGCGAGTTGACTTGGGACGACATCTCTCTGACCTCCAAGCTGCTTGGAACAGGCAACTTCGGAGAGGTCCGTAAGGGAACAGTCAACCTGGATGGTGAAAGCGTGGCAGCAGCAATCAAAGTACTGAAACGTAAGTACAAGATACCTAAGTTCCATCTTTCGCAATATTTATGCACGGAATGATTATTTTATATGAAATGTTGACCCTGATATGTCATATGATAATACAATGTTATCTTATGCCCTACCAGCGTCATAAGATGAAGGACTGCTAATAGTATTCACATTACAATGGAAATCTCCTTTCGTTCTTTTTAGGCGGTGCAGATGAGGCTGCCAGGCGAGACTTTCAGCAGGAAGTGGACATCATGCGCCATGTTGGCTACCATCCTAACATCATCAACCTGCTGGGAACCTGTGACCACCAAGGTGATACATTTATATCTTATAATAGACTCATAATACGTGCACTAATTAGGTTTGTTGTTGCTGCAGAATGGTCTTTTTTCTACGAACATGTTATTTTCTTGATACTGTGAGCACTGGTAATACGAAAGGCTGATTTGTAAACCTCCCAGTTTTTGTTTGATTAAAATTGATATGGAACTCAATTGGGTGTCTGTTACCTAATATGTCTTTCGTTTGACTGGAAATACATGTGTTAGCAATAAAACCAAGTTAATCTATCTTCAGGTCAGCAGTACATGGCTCTAGAAATGGCTGGAAATGGCGATCTGAAGAAGTACCTGAGAACATCTCGGGTTCTGGAAACCACAAGTCCAGCCTACGCCAACATCCGCCAGACTGTCGGCACCGTGTCCACCCTGTCACCGGTCCAGCTCCTCCGTATCACCTGTGACGTGGCAACGGGGATGGATCATCTGTCTTCTAAAGACGTACGTTAGTAGTATTATTGTTTAGAGGTTTAGAGTCTTCGGAAAGCAGCAAATATTGTGAACATAGCACAATGTGTATCTTTCTACATCTTCTAAAATTGCACTTGTGTAATGTATTTTCTGTTTAACAGGTGATCCACCGTGACCTGGCAGCCAGAAATGTCCTCCTCACAGACAGTCTCATCGCCAAGGTTGCTGACTTCGGACTCTCACGTGGGGAGGGCATCTATGAACAAACGTCTAAGGTGAGTGCATACAACAATATGGTGACTAAGGCATGAATTGAGACATTCAGCATAATATGATCTTAAAAATTAATAGCCAGTAATTAACGAACTCGCCTTAAATAATCTTGCACATTCAACCTTTCGCAGCATGAAAGACATAATTCATATATGTGTTGTAGATGACAACTGAGATGGGAGAGTACCGTTACCTAATGGTTGATACCTGTTTTCTGTATTACAGAGGGCTGTTCCTTTCCGATCCACTGCGCTAGAGGCGCTGAGCACTAGGATCTACACAACACAGAGTGACGTGTAGGTTTGAACTGTTGATTAAATTATTTCACAACGGTAGTATCGACAACATATATGAGTCCATGAACCACCACATAAATAAATTAACCATGTGGCGTTTTTCTTTATTTTTTGTTCAGGGAAATTACCAATGTTGACTTTATGATAATTTTGGCTGACACTTTCCTCCCATGTACTTCAGATGGTCTTTTGGAATTCTACTCTGGGAGATTGTCACTTTGGGTAAGTGTGAAGGGATATTTGACTTTGTGTTAACTGGTGTTATTTCATGTTTGAAGCGAAAACCTCACGTTGTGAACAATGATAGTATGAAATTCATGATGATGATGATTACGATGGTGTTAACTCTTGTAGGAGGAACCCCTTACAGCGGAATGAAATCAAGAACTCTACTAAGGAGCCTTCGAGAAGGATACAGGCTGCCCAAACCAAGAAACTGCGATGAAGACTTGTAGGTTTTGCTTGACCTTCTATATACGTGTCCCCAATAGCTGCATTCTTCAATTTATCACTCTCTGTGAAAGGACTATACTATAACTATCTCTACTATCGTTTCCTTTTTCAGATTGGTACGTTATGGTTCTTATGGTGGAATATGACTTATGAATATAATAATAAAATAAATATGGGTTGCTTTCTATCTAGCAAAATTACAGTAATGGTGAAACAAGCAATCCTAATAAAAAGAGATACATTGAAAGTACATGAATATTATTCCTGACCAGGTACCAGATGATGCTGCAGTGCTGGCAGCGCCGTCCTGAGGACAGACCGACCTTCTCTGACCTGGTGGAACAGCTGAAGGGCATGATGGAGGACAAGAGCGTGAGTATACAATTCTATTGGTCAAACATCAGTGTCTAAACTGTATTTAGGGTCATCGTCATGTTTACCAAAGGAAAACATTGTTTTTGCTCAGTTTCTTCTTCTTCTTCCATTTCAAACAAATAAGGTCAATGACCAGGGCTAGACGCCTGTCACCATGGTCACTGTTGTTGGGTTACACAATGTTGCAAGTGCCATGCAGAACTTAGTTCAAGAGGGGCTGCATGGTCACCATATATTTGAATGTGTTTGATTTAGAATATATGAATGTGTTTGATTTAGAATAAACAAAGCAGTAGTTTGTTAAGCTGGACCGTGTGAATGTAAACATGATGCATTTGCTTTGCAAATGTTACCTTTAAATTTCTAGTGATCATTGTTTTCTTTGGTATTTTACAATTTCAACACTGCATACATGGGACAAATCCAACAAAGCATATGGCTAATACACTTTTACCCATTAAGATGTCAGGTTGTGAAACTTCAGTAAAAATAAAATTTCTGGAATTTTACCAGATAAAGAAAGCATTAAATTATTATCAGTAAGGTTTGAATTGGCGAGGTTTTCATGTCAGTTTTACTATTTGTTTCAGAGCTACGTCAACATTGAGAAGGAAGACGATTTCGAGTATGCGGTCATTGACTCTGACGACAATGATGACATGGATGATGACGATAACACATTCACAGGATAGGAAGAACAGGTTGACTTCTACCTATGTATATGTCAATGTGTCTGTGCTTAAGTGCTGTTTAAGTGTGTTTCGTCAGCTATAGATTTTTTTTGTTTCTGTGAAGTCACGTTTTATCATAATACCATTGGTACTTTTAATCAATCAATAACGTTTACCACCTTGTTCCATTTATCATAAATTAAAATTCCATTACACAGCAAGAATGAATTCTACATCATTCAAGTAAAATGGTTATGTTTCAATGGGGCAAAGGTTTGTAACATGTTCTGATGCTACACGCATGCCTTGCAAGTCTTGGCGATGTGTGTGTGTGTGAGGTAGAGGGAATGGTTTGGAATTTTCCGTGTTAACTGTATCCCTTACTAACATAGCACTTGTTATTTTGAGTTCATTTTTCAACAGCTTATTTTTAGTTTTTGTCATTATCAATCACTTTTACACTACATGCCAGTGTGGGTGTGGTTCAGTGCTGTTAAATGTGTCTTTGATCAGCTATACAAGGTTTTGTTTCTGTGTTATTTTTATCTCTACAGATTGGTTAACGTTTGAATCAATAGTGTTTACCATGGCCTTGTTACCATGGCCTGTCGCCGAGCTTTAGTATACTGTGCTCAGCTTTGGTCCAACTACAGAGCTGGAACCATGCATAGATTAGTTGTCTACCACGACGGCCTAAATGTCTCAGCCGAGAAGTACTAGTAACAGCGACTTATTTGTGAAGATGCGTGTGAGTACCTTTGATGCTAACCGCCGGAAACTGGCGTATCCGTTTCCTTGTCGCTTGATAAAGTCTAAGAACGACTTAATCAAACTGCTACTTTGTTTGGAGGCTTTTTCCTCCAGCCTGCTCTGGCGACAGTACTGTAGCTTGGCCCACCTATCGTAAGGGAGCCTCCTTGGGGCAGGATAGCTCATTTATCTGTACATACTTCAATTTATCTGTTTGTTTGTTTGTTTGTTTGTTTGTTTGTTTTCTTTTAGATGTGTTCATGTCATGTCATGTATGTATGTCACTGTGGGCCATCGAGCCTGAAATACACAATAAACATACTGACATGAGGGACCGTGAGAAAAATGTATTGTCCTTCAAAGTTTTCGTTTCTTACAATTCCAAATATATGCTGTAAATCACGATTTTTTTCACAGTACTCGTGCATGGTTACTTGTCATTACCGTGAGCAAATCATCCGCCAATTTTCCTTTTGCTGCACCTACCACCACCGCGAACATATAGTTCTGTGAACATGTCCATTTTTCTCAGCCACAAACTTTTGCTACTGCAAACATAAAGTGATTGACATGTATTAGCACTGGCCTTTCCTGAAGTGCATAATTGTATAAAGTTTGTTACACCAGTGGTGTTTCACATAAAATCACGACAAACCAGAACATTTAAACTGTTACAAAGCAGAACATTTGAATTGCCAGGAGTACATTGATTGTTTGCAAATATTGCGAATCAACCATAAATTTTACAGATTTCTAAAAAAAATACACAAAGCTATTTTTTACATTGTACTTCAAAAAATCATGTTCCAAGTATAAAATCAAGCTTAAGAGTCTCACAAATCGAGTCTTGGTCATCCAGCAATTGTCATTTAGTGAAAAAGGGGGTCTTGAAGCTGACTTCCCCATTAGGTTTGATGTTCATGTCACCTGTCCATAGCTTTAACCACAGGTACAGTGTATTCTGTAGCAACATTTTACTGTAATTCCCAAAGCTTCACTCTTGACATTTCTAGAATTGTCGACGCATTTAGTACAGTTCAGTCGCATCACATTCCAATTAATCAATGCTTATTGATAAAGAAGTATTGTTATCCAGCAAGTCAGCTATTAAATATAAGATTGACATTACAATAGTAAGATACTACAAAAGGTGGGAAATCCCTTCTTAGTAATAATTATTGTATATCATTGAACGTCAACATAATTGTGTAGCAATTATAACTTTTAGAATACATGAGAAAGGTTTGTCTCTTTGACCCCTTTCATACCAGGTGTCACACCTATAAATTGTTTTAGAATCACATATATACTTTTTTTTTATTTAGAAAAATCCACTTAGACAACCTTTAAGGTAGAACAGAGAAAGATATATTCAGTCATCTCATGTCACCTCACCACTCACCAGTAATGATCACAATAGAAAAACTATGTGAATTCATCTCCAGTTGCTTTAAAAAGAGAGAAGAAATATTCTTGATCTAGATTAGTTAGTATTAATCAGTTATTATGTTACTCATTATGATATACATGTAGCATCATACTCCGATGTGCATGTATGCATTTAGCCCCATAGGCATGAACAAATAAAGATTCATTGTTAGCAAGATTTTACGATTTTAAAAGTTCGAATCCTGCCCATGTCACCGGTCTTGTGTCCTTGGGAAAGGCACTTTACACAACTTTCCTCACTTCGCTCAGGTGAAAATGAGTATTGCATTGTCCCGTGTTGGTGGCGGCATTAATATAAGTTGAAAAAACTTGAGTGTGCCGTCACCACGTCGTGTGATTACATGTTGGAATTTAAAAAAAAATGATAGGCATATCACTGTTGGCACTTTTGTTTTAGGAAACACATATACATAAACATATACTCGCATATATATACATTAGTCATAACTCTCGTCTTTCAAACTTTTAAATGCAGGAACATGCATGGCAAATTTAGTGCAGTTATAAAAGGTAATGTGTATTTTTTTCAAATGATACATTATGTTTTGAACAAAAACATGCTTAAAACATTATGTATCGCGTTTAGAAAAAAATTCTTAAAAACATTATGTTTTATTAGAAATATTCATTACTTTTACAAAAGATTAAATTCTCCTGTTAAACGCTTTCTTATGTTTAATGTAAGTGTGAGTAGGATGTTGTCATTTGACTTAAGAACAGGTTTTTTACTTTTCTTCTTTGCAAATGAAGGGAAAAGTAAGCCCACAATTCTTGTCAGACCAGATTGCTGACGATGTCTTGGTCTGTTGAAAAAAAAAAAGAATAGCAATTGCTATGTGGTGATAACACGTCATTCTTGAAGTCATTTTTATGGTATACTTACCAGTCAGTTCTCTTTATCTGTGTAAAGAATGATTCAAACAAAGAAACCGAAAACCGATAGCAAAAAGGGTACGGCATCAGATCAATAAAATATGCAATTATTGGAACATGATATTCAATACAAAGATACATGAGCTTAAAAGCTATATTTTTGGCAGTAATGTCCTGGGCCACTTCAACACATGTGCAACCACTTTTGTTGAAAAAGCTTGAACGTGTATGATATTGTGTAAGGTACCCAAAGCTATTTCAGGTCAGTAAAACTAGAAGTCAATTTTAGGTCGTGTAGTGGGTATTGAATTCAAATCCTTCAGCATTTGAATGATGGATAACGCTTGTTGACTGCTTGTTTTGTACCATGTGCTGGTTCTAAGCTATTTGTTAAACGGTTTTCAAAAAATAATTGTTTCTTGGCTTTTTCAAATGCTTCAAGTATAAAACGATGACAAAAATGTGCAAAGAAAGGTAGTATACTAGTAATTAATGTCAATATCAGACAGATTTCCTCATCCAGAATATTGTTTTTTTTTCGTCATGAAACTGCATTGGATGTCCCATTAATAAATGGATTAATTTTCAAATTATGAAAAGCAACACTTACAGGTACCCAGCCAGCAACACAATTCTCTCTATGGCCAAGTATTCGCAGTGCACCACCGTTGTCCGGCTCATTCCGACCCCACCTTGTGAACCGAAGTGATGAACCGTCCGTCCATTGAAGTCGACCACCTGATCGTCTCAGTCCACACCAAAAGTGATTTGCTCGAAAAAATGCTTTAACTGCAATTGAAAGAAAACAATGTATTGACTTTTAATATCTCAGTCACTCACTCACTGTCCAGTTTATCGTCTCAGTGTTGTTCCCCGCCTTCCGGTGGTTAGACGTACTTACACTGCAATACCCATAGCAGCCCGTCATTTGCCTCTGTCCTGTGGGTTGACGTAATCTCTTTCTTGTTACCTGGACGTTACCCATGTGACATTGTCTTATGTTGTAATCATGGCTTCACCACTATGTGGTGAAGACATATTGTTATGGGTTCACCACACCACGAAGTGGTGTGGTGAAACCATATTGCTTTTTCTGGTGTTTCTTCTTCTTCTCCTCCTCCTTCTCCTCCTGCCATTTTTTAAATGGATTCAGCTTCTTCATTTTAGGGCCCAAGGTCCTGAAATTTGGTATGGAGGTACAGTGGGCAAATACCCCTAGGCGTTTTTTAAATTATTGTGATACAGGCTTTTAGAATGGTTTTATTTGAGTTTTTTGGCTGTGTTATAGCAAATGTATTACTGTGTTAGTATGCCGTGTTTACATGTCTGGGCATGAGTCATCACAATGGAATGCAGGGCATCAACCAATAGGCATGCAGCTTTCCTCTATACTTCTTGCTGATTGGCTGTTGGGATTTAACTTGATTAACACCTGCACAGAGCATTTCCACCTGCACAGAGCATTTCTTGCTGATTGGCTGTTGGGATTTAACTTGATTAACACCTGCACAGAGATTTCCATACTGACAGTATGTCTTTATTCAAGTGTTTTGGTAGGTATTTCAAGCTTTTCTGCTCCAGCATTGGAATGCGGGGCATGAACGTTTTTGTTATTTATTTTGAAAATCAACAGTTTGCATTATGCAATTAAAAATCCTAACCAATAAAGTAGGGAATAGCTATCCAACTGTTGTTTTAGTTGTATGTTACTTCATATTATAGTTATATCAATGTAAATCATTGTTTTCCCTTGTGTTTCTCATTCTTTCCCTGCCATGACGTCGTAAAATGTGGTGAACCCATCGCTGTATTTGCTCCAAAGCAAATATTGGCCTTTCTAGTTTTTCCTCATGTTTCTTCTTCTTCTTCTCCTCCCGCCAAATAACATGCAATTTGGCATGAAGGTAGAGTAGGCAAATACCTTTCTATGGCAGGATATTGTCAATTAAGTTTTTGTCCCCAATTGTGGTATACATCTATATGTCCTGTTTGTCTATTGAAAGGTAATATACAGTCAGACATTATATACAACATGCAGGTGGAGTTGCACATCCATAGACACAACTGATTACGCTATTATGAAATGTCACTTTCAAGCTCTGAAAAGAGGCAGCAGGGTTTGTGCTAATACATGTATTTTAATTTGATTTAATAGATTTTTCTAGCTCTGAGTCTATTTTATCTTATTGTCACTGTGCACCCATTTTTTCTGTGCCGGTTTTGAGAGGGCCTGTCATTGCACTGGTCAATGCCATAGATTACTCACCTTGTTGTGCAACATCACCATTGACGACAAGACTTGAAACAAAGTCGTTCTCTCCGCTGCTCCCGATAGAAGTCAGCTCTGCACCCATTACTTCACACATCGAGTTCGCCTTAGACCAGCTGACAAATGTTGACATGAACTTGTAGCAGTGATTGTTGTATTCCCTCCAACCACTAAAGCACGGTACGGCTGTATTAAGGCAAAAGTGCAAGAGAGATCTCTAACCAGTTTTAGCTCACTGAAGAGCTAATCTCCCAAGGGTCTTGGCAGACTGAATTAAATAAGACAGACGCTATGTACAGTTCATTGTACAGGGGGGATTCACCTAGCTCTTTTCGACAAGCACAATGAAAATTGGACCATGGTTTGATGTTAGCCTCCACCAGGCCTTTATTACCTCCATGAAAAATGGAGGTATTGTTTTTGGTGCGCCTGTCTGTTTGTTTGTCTGTGTGTTTGTCTGTCTGTGTGTTTGTCTGTGTGTGTTTCCACAACTTTGTAGTCAGCATAACTTCATAACGCCTTTATGGATTGTGATAATATTTGGTATGCTGGTAGGTCTTAGGAAGACGAAGGTCAAGGTCAAATATGGGCCTCCTGGTGGCCGACCTTGGTACTGCAGCCAAACTTCCGGTGTTTGTATCTTTTGTCCTGGACATGCTATGGTCTTGACTTTTTGGTGACTGATAGCTTTTTCTGTCAGTAATAAGAGGTGTGCGTTTGGTCCCCCTAGCAGCTTGTTCTGGAAGTGCAGTGGGGGTTTCTGGTGAAACCTTTCAGAGCAGATAAATTCACAAAGGAACAATGTATTTGTATGATTTTTGGTATGTGGGTAGCTTAGACAGAGATCTACAGTATTGAATGCAAATTATGCAAATGAGGACTTAATTTGCATAATTAATTAGGAAATTCTGTAATTACAGTGTTTTACATTATAGTACTTTCATACATGTAATGTATGTAATCTATGGCAGATGGAACATCAACAGATACCAATTATGCCAATGATGACCTAATTTGCATAATTAATGCGAAAATTCTATGACTCCTTAGTGCTAAATGATGGGAATTTCATACTTAGTACATGTGTAAGGTAATCAAAAGTTAACATCACGATGCATTTATTATGTTAATTTGGATTTACATTTACATGTCAAGCCCATATTTCATGGAGGTATGAGATCTCAGAACTCTTGTTTATTTCTGTTTTATTTAAACAGGGTAGAAACCTCAGCGCATTTAAAAACACTGCTTTTCAGGAATGCCCTGTAACAACAACGTACACATGAAAACAATGAAATCGACACATTAAACAATACATAAAGTTACAAAACAAGGGGATGGTTAAAAAAGAGTGGCATGTGCATCTTAAAATGAGAAAGTTTAAAGGAAATATCTCACATTTCTGACAGTTCTTTCCAGTCCATCCTCGTGAGCACCTACAGTTGTATCCACCTCGATTGTTGTCACAGGTTCCATGCTGACAAGGGTTTCCCGCGCACTCATTGACGTCTGTGCGATGAACAAATAAATACAATATCATCATACATACATATAGCGTTACCCATTACCAACAAAGAATTTGAAACAAGGAAAGCTTTTTAAAAAAGCTGGGCCGGCCTCAGAAAACAACTAGATGAAGGCATCACCAAGTCGGGAAAGCTTGCATTTCGGCATTGTTAATTTAAAAAGAAAATTAAATTAATGCCGACAGCGGGATTCGAACCGGCAAACTTAGCTTGCCAAGACATGCAAGACGAAGTGCAAAAAAGAGTAACAATTTAACCTATTGACATTCCTATGTAAGAACAATTCTTAGAATGTTAAAAGCAAAACAATGGATGTTAAAAAGAAAATTTAAAAAAAATCCGACTCCGGAATTCGATCCGGCGATGTTCTGAGCAAGACCTGCCGAAAGACGAAACGCTCTCCCTACTGAGATGCCATACATAGGTTATGAATGGTTTATAAATGCTTCAATTCAATGTAACAAATGCCAACGTGCCTACGTGTCTACCTGGCTTTAACTGGTCTCTATACCGACCTACGGCCGGCAAAAAAAGACTGATAGATGGAAACAGGAAAAATGCAAATCAATCAATAGTACATGTACCTAGTATACAGACAAAAAATTCACCTATGTTACAGTTCTGTCCATGCCATCCAACTGTGCAGGTACACTTGTATCCGCCAGGAAGGTTCACACAGGTTCCATGTTGACAGTATACCCATTGGTTACACTCATTTAAGTCTGTGTGATATAGAAATTACAAAAATAAAATACATCATGCGTACTAGATACACTGTATGTCCAATATCAACAAAAACAAAAGAAGGGATGGCAGATGGAAATAGGAAAATGTACTATGCAACATGGTAGCTATACCTACAGATAAAAACTCACCTTGCTGACAATTCTGTCCAGTCCATCCGAGGTTGCAGGCACAACTGTATCCACCATCTTTGTTATAACAGATTCCCTGTTGGCATGGGTTTCCCATGCATTCATTGATATCTGGGGGATTAAGAAATAAATCCAATATTAAACGTAAATCAAGAACCAATTCTTGAATGGGACAGAGTAATGGAGAAAGAAATAAAGAAAAACATGACAAAATAGGAACATTGTGTTTCCTAGAAATAGCTTTCTAGGATTTAAATTCAAGACGATATCTCACCTTGCTGACAGTTGTGCCCAGTCCATCCAGGTGAGCAGGTACAGTTGTATCCCCCTTCTTTGTTCACACAGGTTCCATGCTGACAGGGTATGTTGGTAACATTGCACTCATTGATGTCTGTGGAATGAAGAAATAAGTCTATTAGTATAATCGTAAATTAAGAATTGATGAAACTCTCTAGAAGGACAGAGGCATCTGAGAGAGAGAGAGAGACAGACAGACAGACAGACAGACAGCAAACAACGGGAATAAGATATAATTAGTCCTTGAGTGAAATGAGACAAAACTCACCCTGCTGACAGTTCTGTCCAGTCCATCCAGGTGAGCAGGTACAGTTGTACCCGCCATCTTGGTTCACACAGCGTCCATTCTGGCAAGGGTTTCTGGTGCACTCATTGATGTCTGTGTGATAGGTGAAAAAACACTGTTAGCAACTGAGCAAAATTTTTACCTATACCAGTTCTCACTTAGCATTAGCAGGCGATGGTCAAGATGTTAGAACGCTATCAAAGTTTTGTAGTGAGGAAAGAATTAACTTGTGTTTGAACATGGCAAGCTAGAGTCTTAAGCAGGTTGTTTTTACCACTTCTGCTGCTGCTTGGTGGCAAAAGTGTCATTTATATCTCTCTGTTGGTAGTTTTGTCAAATTGTTTCAATATGAACCATTACGTATACATGCACTAACGGCAAGAAAAGATGTCAACTCACCTTGCTGACAGTTCTGTCCAGTCCATCCAAATGAGCAGGTACATTTGTGTCTACCATCTTTGGTCACACAGCGTCCATTTTGGCAAGGGTTTCTGGTGCAATCATTGATGTCTGCGTAATAACGATGGAAAAAGGCTAGAATTAACGAAATGTGACCAGCTAATTTTGTGAAATGTTTTAGATAAAACTGAAACATTCTTAAACAACAGAAGGCTTCCAACATACAGGATGATTCAAAATAAGGTGCTTGTTCAAAATAAGGTTTTGAAAGGTTGTAATTTACCAGTGTTTGATGGGAGGCCCATGTTTCTGGTTGGTAAGTTCTCTACGTTGAGGCTGGTATTTGTGAGCGTCAAGCGGTTATCCTTTGCGTACATCGTCTGCAAAAGCCGTCGGTAACTATTGTAGATCATGTTCATGTAGCGCTCCCATGTTGGGAGAAGAATTGTGAGACGCAAACACAACAAAAATACTGTAGAATTTTGCAGCCTGTCTCATAAGATAAGACCTAAAATGTATATTTAACTATTACTATGCGGGGTCGTGTGGCGTAGCGGTAGCGTCTTCGGCCCGGAACCAAGAGGTCCTGGGTTCGAACCCCACCTGGTCACCGATCTTGTGCCCTTGGGAAAGGCACATTCTACTCTTTACTCAGAACATGTATTTCCGGCCCACCTCTGCAATCAGTTCTCAGCTCTGTTTCCTTATATTTTTTAATTTTAGCGACTCATTTGTTCCATTGCTTCAAACCTACAGTGGGTGTCACTGGAAGACAGCCAAAAAATGTCCAGACTATGCATGATGTACAAAATGAATAATAAACTGGTGGACGTACCAACTACTAAGTACCTAATACCAGCTCAGAAAAAAAAAGAAAGGAGCATTATCGTTAGATGGCTTTAAACAAACTACAGAAGGACATCAAAAGAAACAAGCAAAACCTAGGTATAAGCAAGTGACTTAGCCTACCTTCGATGCAATGATACGAGGCACCAGGATAGCAGCAATGACAACTAAAGCAGTCAGCACCAGTCCACAGACCAGCGCAGGGCAACATAGACGGCTAGATTTTCCCTTCATCCATAGCTCCGTGGCTCTATCTAGGTTTTACGAAAATAATTTCATAAGGTGGATGGAACATGGGGTATTGGGATTTTCTTTTTACATAACCATGTTTTTTCACCGCGAAACGTAAGCAAGTGAGAGACATTACTTGATGACAAGGTTTTCTAGAAGGTTACCACTCTGAGAGCTAACTGCGGTAGTACAGGTTGCATTTTAAAGTCGTGTTTGTTCAAACGTTCAACTCGGAAACGTTTCAATATGCTTCAATCATCCCACCGGTCGCCCTGCTCTTGGCCGGCCATGGACTTTTATGTTTTAGAAAGTCTGTTACAAATCCTCTAGTCATCTTTCAAGTGCAGTTCTCAGTGTGTGGGTGCAGACAATTCAGTACAGTGAGCCAATGAGGATTACACCTCTCTTAGAATCTGATCCTAGGAGGCTTAAAGCAGTTCCTGTATGATCGAGCCCAGACCATTGCATTTCTCTTAACGTCGGTGAAAGTTAGACATTCAGGTAATAAGATACGCCAAAAACAGTTACTCAAGCTACTGGATATGTTTTTGGAAACGGTCAGACGTGTCAGGTAGCATCTACTGCCTGAAACGTCTGACCGTTTCCAAATCATATCGGGTTGCTTGAGTAAACTGTTTTTGGTTTATTTCTCCAATCCTTTACAAATTCAGATTAAGTGCAATCAATTTGCATGTTGCATACACTTGCATGTTAACATGAAATCTGTTGATGCTTCCAGAAAAATCCACTGAAAAATCATATATCATACTAAATGATAAAACGATCACAAGCAAATTACATATATTGAAATAAAACTACAATTGCTTCATCTAACCCTAGTGTAATATGTATCTTATTCTTCTTCAATACCCTCCAACCACCCCTGACGGGGTATCACTGAGGGGGGGAGCGGTACGCGGCCAGTATGGCAGGGCGGTTTCTACCCTGGCCTTAAAAGCCTCTACTGTCGGTGCCCTCACCACTGGGCCCGGCAGCTGGTTCCACTCGCTTACCGTGCGGGGAAAAAAGAAAACCTAACGCAGTCTTTATGTGCTGTGAATAAGTGGAATTTATATACTAACTGGTATCTGCACGTACCTCTGACTTTGTGACAAAAACCAGGTTCAGCTCGCTCATCATCATCTCCGTTGTTAGTACCCCCTGGTGTGTCAGAATCAGATGTATGGTAGGAGCTTCGCTCTTGCTTTTGCCCTGGACGCCCCGCCGGGGGTCCATCGGGTGCAGTAGGCCACAACCACTGGCCCAGACCCAGTGCGAAGACACTGTTACCGGCCTTTCTGTCCGATTCTTCATTTCTTCCGTCCGCACGTTCATTCCCCTTGTCTTCCATGTCATGGTGAAGAGGCAATGGTTCGTTGGGCGCAGGGCGTTGAGGCAACGGTGGCCTGACATTCTCTTTGCTCTCCATGTCACGATGGTTAGGTTGGGGACCACTGGGCGCAGAACCTGGTACAAAGACTCTGTCTCCATGCGAATCAACGTCATCTCTTGGAGGCAAGGGAGGTGGAACATTTGTATCATTTTTGCCGTACTGTTTTTCTTGCCCCGGACCCAATGCAAAGACACTCTCACCGTGTGGGTCCATGTCTTCGTACATGTACGTATCTGGCGGTAACTTACGTGGTCTTGGTGGTAACGTTGGAGGGTCGCCGTTCGCATTTTCATTCCTTCCGTCCACCTGTTTCTTCTTGTCCCCCTTCTCAAGATTGTGAGGGGGGGTTTCATTGGGCACGGAACACTCCCCTTCGCTTGTAAGATCCTTTGCTGTGAAGTATGTATCAGAGTATGGTTCTGCACTGAGCTCTGGCCACACTACCATGTGGTCTCCCATGTCAAGATGCCAAGAGTACACATGGTGATCATCATCCTCCAAGCCAACTTGCTCCTCCTCTTCTTCTTCTTCTTCCTCTTCTTCTTCTTCTTCTTGCTTCCGTTTAGAGGCTTTTTCTTCCATGTCGACTTTGCGAGGTGGTGGTAGGTTGGGCACGGCGCGTTTCAAGCCAGATCGCAATATTAAAATTTCACCAACGGACCCTCCATCCACGTCTTCATAGTTTTGGCCCGCTTCTTGGACGAGCTGTTCTTTGGCGAGTCCCTTCTTTTCTGTGTGATGTCCACGCGGGTGTTCATGTTCTTTTTCTCCCACACCAAGAAGACGAGACGGGTGTTCACTGAGCGCAGAACTTGGTGGTACAAAGACTCTGAACCCATGCGGATCGACGTCTTCAACATTTGTACCATGTTCGTCATCCTGTCTTTCTTCCCCAGGACTCAATACAAAGATACTCTCACCGTGCGGATCGACATCTTCGTACGTATTTGGCGGCAACGTACGAGATTTTGGTGGTAACGGGGGAGGGAGGCAGTCGCCGCTCGATTCTCCATTCCGTCCGTCTACTTGTTCCTTCTTGTCTCCCTTGTCAACATGGCGAGGTGGGGGTACCTCGGGTCTGGCGCGTTGTAACCCACAAATCAGTACGACGTTTTTGTCGCCATGCGGACCCATGCCTTCATACGTTCCTAACAACATTTCCTTCGCGTTACCAACCTCCATCTTTCTCCTTTCGTGCAAAAGAGATTGCCAACGGAATTTGAAATGTGGTTATGCTCTAGCTCTGAGGGAAGCTGAGGATTTGGCCTTGAACCAATCTACTCTTTCAATCTTGACTGAATCGGTAATTTCAGTGAGAATGCTGACAAGTACCTGAACTCGTGCCGATGCTTACTGCATCGTCACCCCATGTAGTCGAACTGGATCGCTCCGAAGTTCATGCGATATGAAATGTAAGTCCAAGTGGTGATCGTGCCTTATATGTAGGTATGATATCATATGTAGGCGTACGTGGGACAGACCAATCTTGAACATAAGTCTTGGCCTGGCTTAACTAGCTTAGCTAGTGAAGATCAAGTTCAAGGGCCTTTTCCACTTTTTTCACTTTCCACTTTAGGGCTTTAAGGCTTATACAAAGCGACTGGATATGATGAATGAATATGCATGGTATCTACTTCAGATAGCACTGGCTTCGTGTGACTTCTTTCGACACAGATATACTTTTCTTGTAGTTGTATCTGAAACGCCGATAGCTTCCTTGGCTACTGGTCTATCGTGATTTCTTTACTTTGTTCACATCGCTTAGAACTTCAGGGCACAAGCCTTTGTTCTGATTGTGTGAAGTAGAACTGATTTTGCCGGAGTACCTTCGCCCACGCTGCCAAAAGATTTACAACTTCTCGGAGAACTGTGATGAAGACTTGTACGTTTTGCATTGACCTTCTATATACGTGTACCCAATAGCTGCATCCTTCAATTTCTCCGTGAATGCAATATACTATATGTATCTCTACTATAGTTCCTTGTTCAGATTGATATGATTCTAATGGTGGAATATGACATATGAATAAAAATAAAATGAATATGGGTTGCTTTCTATCTAGCAAAATTACAGTCATGACGAAACAAACAATCATAACAAAAAGAGATATATCATTGAAAGTACTGAAATATTGTTTACTATCAGGTACCAGATGATGCTGCAGTGCTGGCAGCGCCGTCCTGAGGACAGACCGACCTTCTCTGACCTGATGGAACAGCTGAAGGGCATGATGGAGGACAAGAGCGTGAGTGTGCAGTTATATATCAGTGTCTAAACTATACTGTATTTAGGGACATCAATTTCTATGATATTCTACAATTTCTATACCACATACACAGGACAAATGCAACAAAGCATATGGCTAATATATATGTAATTAATAAGCTTAAATGCTTGTCAGATTGTGCAACTTAAGTACAATCAACCTATGACATTAGGACGTTTGCTGGGAGTGATTGCTTTCACAATTTTACCAGATAAATAAATCACTCAATTGTTACCAGTAATTCATGGATTGGGGAGGTTTCGAGGTTTTCATATCATTTTTACGTCTTGTTTCAGAGCTACGTCAACATTGAGAACGATGACGATTTCGAGTACGCGATGATTGACTCTGATGACAATGATGACATGGATGACGGTGGTGATGCATCACAGGATAGGAAGAACAGGTTGACTTCTACCTATGTATATGTCAATGTATCTGTGGTTAAGTGTTGGTAAAGTGTGCTTTGTCCGCCATAGACTGTCTTTGTCTCTGTGAAGTCACTTTTATCATAATGCCATTGGATTAAGTACTTTTTAATCAATATCGTTTACCACCTTGTTCCATTTATTATAAATTATAGCATGAGTACTGATGTCTACACCATTCAAGTAAAAATGTTTGTTTGAATTTTGCAAATGCATATATATGCTTGCAAAATGTTGTCATACTACATATATTCCTTGCAAGGCTTCGTGTTGTCTGTATGAGGTGGAAGGAATGGTTTGGAATTTTCACGTGCGTGTTAACTATATTTACTAACAATAACACTTTTGTTGAGTTGATTTTGTCACCTGTTCATTTGTACTTATGTTTAGTACCGTCAACGTAATTAGTAATCACATTAATAACATGTCTACATGTCAGTGTGGGTGTGGTTCAGTGCTGTTAAATGTGTCTTTAGTCAGCTCTACACTGTTTTGTTTCTTAAAAGTGATATTTTTATCTCATACAGATTGGTTATTAAGAACTTTTGAATCAGGTAGCGTTTACCATGGCCACCTTCGGTTTCATAATGTCATTTTTAACTCTGTCGCCCAGCTTAAGTACTTATATTTACATCATTCAAGTAAAATAGTTATAATCCAATGAGCCAAATAATACTTGTATATAGACCAATATTTTTCAAATGTTCTTTTATTTTTAAATGTTTGCCTTACAAGGTATCGTGCTGTCTATATGAGGTGGAGGGGATGATCGAGAAATGTCCGTTTCATGTTAACCACATCTACTAACAGAACAAATATCAATTTGAGTTAATTTTTCAACACTTCCTTCTTACCTGTGTTATATTCTGTTACCTTGATTATAAATATATTCTCTGAAGTGCTTACTGACATTTGAAATGGACATACTCTGTTCAGTACGCTTTAAAAGGGCGATAAGCACAAACGGTTCTAGTTATGCGCACACTTGCGAGGCATAGTAGTTATACGGTACGCTTTATCTAGCACCCAAATAATTGACACGAACGTGTTATTTTATTTGGTTTAAAACACGTTATAAGGTTCCTGTTAAGTTTGCAAAATAAAGAAGACAACTATATACAATTTGTACTCAGAACCTTCAAGTTCCATGTTGTACAGTCGTCTGGTCAAGCTAAATACGAAGGTGGGAGATCGTTTGATTACTATATCTGACCCTTAGCGCTACATATATCACGATTTCTTCCATCCAACACTAACACGACGTTTACATGCACCACACAATGTTAACGTGCGATTGGAGGGTGGGGGGCGGGGATTTTGCGTGTTGTGTACATGTACGTCAAGGAACAATCTACGTGCGAAGTAAATGTTAGTATAGGACCATTCCATTTCACCTGGCGTAACAAAGTCTTCTGCAGCCACACCCTGTGGCAAATTATACTAGCAAGCTCACCCACAGTTGTTAAAGACGTCATTGCGATAACAACCAAATCCTCCTACAGGTATTTATGTCTTGGTCCCATGACTTGTGACCTGTAAGTGTTTAAATTACGCGGGACAAAGGACCTTAGCAAACATAGATCACAGTTGGCAAAGAGACGGAACAACATGGCGAATTTCGGACGGTACTTCCTTGTCGGAGTTCTGTTTATCACTCCTGCTTTATACTCAGGTGAGATTTCTCAACATCTCAGTTGTAGGGACAGTGGTATACATGTATTTCTTGGGTGCCAGTGAGACGTACGTTGGTATGGAACTAGCACTAGATTTTGCGCGTGCTAACTATATCTAGAATCTAGAAATAACCGTCGTATATGGAATAATACCCCCATGTAGTGGTGTACACATAGTGTACCACTGTTGGCAGTGAGCCGAACAAAATATAGAACTGTCCCACGATAGCTAAACTCGAGTTAAAATTGCTCATTACCTCCAGGAAAAATGGAGGTATTGTTTTTGGCGTGTCTGTCTGTATGTATGTATGTATGTATGTATGTATGTATGTATGTCTGTGTGTGTGTCTGTGTGTGTTTCCGCAACTTTGTGGTCAGCATAACTTCAGAACGCCTTTATGGATTATGATGATATTTGGTATGTTGGTAAGTCTTAGGAAGACAAACGTCAAGGTCAAATATGGGCCTCCTGGTGGATGACCTTGGTACTGCAGCAGAACTTCCGGTTTTTGTATCTTTTGTCCTGAACATGCTATGGTCTTGATGTTTTGGTGACAGATAGCTTTTCCTGTCAGGAATAAGTGGTGTGAGTTTGGTCCCCCTAGCAGTTTGTTCTGGAACTGCAGGACACTTTCTGGTGAAATGTTTAAAAGCCAATAAGTCCAGATAGGAACAACATATTTTCATAATTTTTGGTGTGTAGGTAGCTGAGAGAGAGATGTACATGATTAAATGCAAATTATGCAAATGAGGACTTTATTTGCATAATTAATGAGGACATTCTATAATTACAGTGTTTTACATTATACTACTTTCATACATGTAATGTATGTAACCTGTGGCAGGCGGAACATCAACAGATACTAATTATGCAAATGATGACCTAATTTGCATAATTTGTGCAAAAATTCCATGATTTCTTAATGGTGAATGATGGGAATGTCATACTTGGGACATCTGTAACTTAATCACAAGTTAACATACATCATGATGCATATATCATGTTAATGCAGGGGTAATTTGCATAATTAAAGAAGAAATTTACATTTACATATCATTTCATGGAGGTATGAGATCTCGGAATTCTTGTTTGTATTTTACTTCGAATAATACATCCGTAATGTTTATTGTTGATCACTTCGGTCATTTAAACGTCCGTCATTTGAATATATATGGGTAATAGAATTATCGTAGGGGATTTGCTCATTTGTTTTGCTGTTTATTTGAATAGCTGTGTGAAAATTTTCACACAAAAAATAGCTTATACCAAGAAAGGATTCATCATTCGAATAGCACCCCCTTCACACA